GAGAGGGTTTGTTTTCTGACACTTTGTGAGTTCCCTGACACACCGGGCGGGGACACATATTTATGTACAAAAGACGTAAAAAAGTGCATTTTGCATGATAGGAGATCTTTAAGGTTTGGTTAAAAAACGTGTAAAATAAGGACTTTCTTTACATCGACTTTTCCATTCTCTTCATCCAAATGAAATTCACCACCACAGACTGACTCATCCATTTTCCCTATATGACCCCTTCAATCTCAGAGGAATCAGAAGCTGTTATCATCAAAGACAGTAACCGTGTTTGCCTGAGCCACCTCTTTCAGCCGTGTCTGCCTTTTACTTACTTCAGTTCAAGTCCCTGCGGTGCACTCGCGTAATAAGGTCGACGTGATACATGATAGCATGGGGAGCGATGAATAGAACTGATGAAGTCGGGTGTCTCCTCAAATGTATTACAGCCGAAGAGCTTTAAGCTAGACCTGGAAATCGTTGACAGATAAGATGTGTGTGTACAGTCAGTGTGAGGGAGGCAAAAAGAGAAATCTTGGGGAAATGGTTGCATCACGAAGAGTAACTGCACTGTCAAATGGCATGAACATAATTTTTCCTGAGAGTGGTGCACACAGCCGATGCATACTGATTGATATTGACTGATTGATCGTGACGGATACTGGAAGCCTCTCACTGAATTTCATGCATCACAAACAGGTTACATGACGCCTGATCTGTGGCATGATGATTTTATGGGAAAGCAATAGGTTAAGTGTGCATGTTGAGGTGACTGTGAATCCATAACAATAATCTGGTCTTCTTTCTTGTTAAGCAGATAAAATACATTTTCTGGCATAGGCTATATCAGAGGCTAAAAGTCAATCTTTTTAGTTACATATCTGCAGGGCTTTCCATTTGTAATGCCAATACTGCAAATATCTTTATTTTATTATATATATATTTTTTTAAGGGTATTTCTATATTTCATCTATATTCCATGTAAATATTGTTATATTTTAATGTTAAAAGAGTTTTCTTAAAATAGTTTTTTATCATTTTATTTCTTTATTGTCCTTTTCTTACAACTAATCCTCTTTGACTGTGTCTTTGTATGTACCAAATACCTGGCAACGTTTCTGATTGTGATTCTCAACATCAACAACAACATTTTTGTTTTGTTTATCAAACACTAGCACATTATTTGTTTCTTGTGTTTCATGTAATATGACATTTCATAAACTATGTCACCCTCTCAGCCACAGAACGCTGCCTCCATTATTCACCAACGTAGGTGCAAAGTGAACCAGCTGTTTATTTATGTAACTGCCCTGAAGAAACACAAGTCATTTCATGTTTATTTAATGAAAGAAAAGTTCACTCTTATACTGAGAAATATATTGGACGATATTCCGGCTTGTCTCAGCTTTGACTGTTAAATTATTGCATTAAGTGCTGCTAATGTCCGGAATTAAAAGCAAGGGTAAATAAAGCACTGTTTCAAGGGTAAGTGTGCATCCTCTAAGTATATTGGCCTTAACTCAACCTTAAAAATTAAACTCACCGTTCTTAGGGCTGTTCTGAAATGTTTGCCCCGTGCCACCCTTAATTTCTTACATTTAATGAGCTTACATTTATGCACACGTAATTGAACTTGACATTTAAAGTAAACACACTTAATGCAAAATTAAAAGACGGGATCTGTAATTTCCTAAATTGGCTAGGAAGCTTCCTGGTAAGGCTAACATGAAAAGGTATAGAGACAATATGCAATCCAATCTAATGAACTTACAAATGACTTATTAAGTCAAATAGATGCAAAACACGACTTACTACTGTTTAATGGAGCACGGCTTTCAAGGAAATGTCTAATTCCATAATAATTACTACCAAATTATAATTATTTCCAGGAAAAATCCTAGTCAATCATCAAGTAATTTTGTATTTGTGCACTCTCTTTTTGTTCAAAGCAACATAAGCCATAAATTAGAAGAGACTGTTTAAAACTGACTCAGAAAAAAGCCATATTGTGAAGACAGTATATGTACACAAAGATGGGCGACCAATTCAAGAAAAGCGAAAACACGAGAGCTTTAATGCTCCTTGACAGCAATTCTATGTCCCTCTAATACAGAATATAAATGTATCCTTTATTTGGTATTTTGCTAATCTCTGTCTAACACATTCGTCTACAATTCCATATTTGCTCAAAACGGTTAAGGTCCAGTGACTGCAGAGCAATTAGTCATTATAATTCACACACTTTTTCTACATATCAACCCCTCCCTGCCCTGTTCTCTGTTTCATCTTCATTCTCTATGTTTCTTTGCTCATTTGTTTTTCTGTCAACCATGTGTGAGCGAGAGATAACAGCAACCCCATAAAGAATGAAACCGTATCTGCTATTTCCATAAAATCAATAGTCCATACACTGTAAACAAGACACTAAGCTATAGATGTTTGTCACAGTGAGTGGACTTTGTGTAACTCCTCATTTATTGATGAAATATAGGTCAAGCTGTGTCGGATGAAAGAAGAAGCATGCTGTGTGTGAGTTTACAGTTCACTGGTCTGCAAGATTATTATTTCTTATTTCTCTCTTAACTACATACATGTATTTCCACAGTATATATGATATATAATCAGAAATGAGTATCTGGGAAACAGTTGTCTGAGCTATATAACATTTAAATCAAAACTGACACTAATAACAGCAAAGTGACTTCATAACATTGATTTTTGTATCACTATGATTTCTGATTACACTTTGACGTTTAAAGCAACATCATCAGCAGCTATTGGTCATTAATTAAACAGATGTCTGCTGGTGTTGATTTTACTGGGTATAAATAAGTTGCTATAGAGAAAGCCCATCATTAAAAGCAGTTTATACACAATGTCCATTAAAGCTACGTAAAAAAAAACATTTGTATTCACCACTTAGTACCAGTGAGTGAATTGATTAAATGCTTTTTGATAAATGACTGTGGTGAGGCTTGACAAAAATGCCCAGTTGGCACCATGAAGCCTAGTAAATGTAGTTTTTTAACAGAACTAGAACCGAACAAAAATTCAGGCTTTGAGGATATTAAATAAAAATTACAAAAAATATATTTTGCAGGTATATTTTTACAATACCCTTTAATTTGTTTTGAGTATATGCTGTGTAAAAAGCCTTGACTATGGCACCAAGTTACCAAAATCCGATAAGATGACTTTCCTACATTACTTTTTACCTCCTTCTCCTTTTATATGAAATCAGCAGTAAGCATAGTCTAGTAACTAATAATATATTGTTATTTGTTGTTTGTATAATGTTGTGCACATCAGTAGGGAAGCTCATTATCCCTTCAGTCAAGGCTAGGAGGTATTTAAGTAGTAACATAGTGCCACCATGTGGCCTCAGACAGTTTCTCTCACACCCAGACAGCAGACACCAACAGGAACAACAGCAACTGTTTCTGTGAGCAAGGTTTAACATTCATTAGAGCTTTTATGGGTTATCAAATATGTTTGTACAATATTTGCAATGCATTGGTCAGGTGAAACACTGCCCTGCTTCGTGTGTGATGTGAAGAGTCTTGTGAAAATAGCAGGAAGATGATTTTTCTCTGCAGAGCCTCTTTGAGAGTGCAACAGTTCCCTCAGGAAGCAATGCAAATTGATATGGCATAGTCACAGTACAGAAAGCTGCTTTCAGGATATATTTTGTAGTTTATACAAGCCTACAGAATAGCTTTTACATTATTATTCAAATAAAAACAAAGAATTTGGTTTCCAATAGCAGTTTTTCCTAATAACAAGGAGACCATGTTTGCTAGTGGAGAGTATAAAGATGTAAAGAACGGCTTGGCGGCTGTAATAGGATCAGCACCCCTCATTCTCCCACTCACATCAGCCTTCATTACGACTGGCTTTGAGCAGGATTATTGTGCCTGGAGGTGATGCTTATTTACTGTAGGTGCCCATGTGTGCTGGCGTTTTGCTGATGCATGTAATATATGTGCATTCAATTCAATTCAATGCACATACATTACTTGTTCTGTTTAAGTTATAAAGTTTAATTATCCGTCCATGTCAAAATCTGGTTATTCCTTGAATTGCATAAGCTTTATCACCATGAAATGCAATACACTACATATTTCCCAATCACTTGATGTTAAGTTGTTTTGTGTTTATGTTGCAAATAGATATTGCTTAGTATGTTTACATCTATATTGCAAGATTATCTTGTGTCTCTTTTACCAATAATTTCATTACCGCCTTCCTATTCATCGGCCTCCTTCCATCCCTCAGTCATGTTGAATCCTCTTAGCAGTGGATTATAGGACTAAGATGTCTACACTGAGAGGGGGAGAGAGGGGCACAGAAGTAGAGCATGAGGCACACACAGTGAGTGAGAGAGAGAGATACCGGAGATACACAAAAAAAGGAGAAGGAAATGGAGAAAACCCCTCAGCCTGAAATGGCCTGGGAATGGGGTAGAAGTTGGTCTTTTACTGGGGTGAGTCACTGCCATTTAAGAAAAAAATGTAAAACTAAGGAAAAAATATTTCTGCAGAAGGCAATGCAAAATGTTGTCATGATATCTGTGCATGCATGCATGCTAATGAGCGACTTAGAAAGTAAGAATAGTTTGGCTTTTAAGAGCAGGATACGTGTGCAAGCTTCTGTGTGTGTGTGTGTGTGTGTGTGTGTGTGTGTGTGTGTGTGTGTGTGTGTGTGTGTGTGTGTGTGTGTGTGTGTGTGTGTGTGTGTGTGTGTGTGTGTGTGTGCGTGCGTGTGTGTGTGTGTGTGTGTGTGTGTGTTCATTGAGTTACCTGAGGACAAACTTTAGTAATGTGATAGACCGTGGGGATTAATCCCACTTTGCTAATAGCATGTGTAAGAGACTTTGTATGCAGTAAATATTCTGAGCATGATACACTGATGTTCTCAGTTTCCAGCAGAGCCTCATAAGGTGGAGCACACACTCCTGTGTCCCGTCCTCGTTCTAACTAAAAAGGCCGGGACGGATTAACCAGGCGGCAGAAATGTCCCCCCTGTCCCTCCCCCTCCCCCCCGGCTGGAGCCTGTGCTCTGCTCTCTGTATCCTCACCCTGTTGCTCCCCGAGGCCCGAGCAAACAGCCTGAACACGACCAATCAGCGCAATGGAGGGGGATCCCAGTGCGGAGAGTACACTAACCAGGTAATTACTGTAAACATCCGGAATACAAGCCAATGTAATCTCAACGAGCTGTTTCCTCCTCTTGCTAGAGACGTGTCTGATCTCTGAACCAGCAACTCAACTCTCTGCTGGTTTCAGAAATATATACATAAAGTCTGAATGTAGTGCCAGACAGTTGAAGTACTTATACAACTACTTAAAAAATAGTATTGAGGCCGGGAAAGTACAGATAATATCAGCAAAAAAATACTCAGAGTAACCAAAGTGAATTTCTCCCTAAATGTGGTCCCGGTAAACAATATATTATTACATATTACATTTTGTAATGTATGTATTGTAGCATTTTACCAAAGTATTTGGTCAAAATGCTAGTGCATTATTTTTGGTTGTGTGGGCCACGCCCCCTCCAATGTGTCACAAGAAAAATCTGAGGGGTGTTGAGATAACAAATGCAGTTGGAAAAAAATATATATATATTGCTAGACCAATCTATTTTCATAGTTTGATTATTTTTTGTGATATTTTGAACAAGTTTACCTTGAACAGCTGTTTAAAAGATTAGGATCATATTGTAGTTGTTAGATGTTGAGATGATTTGAACTCTTTAAATACTCTTGGGTAGTTTTATTGAAAGAATTGCATTAAAATGTATTTTTACAAGGTGAACATATGCTTTTTATTAGAAAAGTAACTAGAAAACTGACAACTAACATCAACTGGACTGCAGAATGATGTCATTTGATGCTCCATGATCAACTGCCAAAAACCAGAAACATCCATGTCCTCATTGTGGTTATATTTATACAAATCTACTGTCATATTTGAATTCATTCAAGGATAAGTTTACGGATAACATTGCGGATAGGAATGTATGTTTAAGCCAATAAGTACCCAATCTACCGACTTAATATAATACAATATAACCATTAAAAACTACTTTTTGCAGATTTGCAGCATTGCACATGTACACACATTGAATTTAACAGAACAAATGGAAAATAATGTTCTTATAACATCTAATTATAATTCATGTGTTCTCTATGTTTGAGGCTGTTTTTAAGGACATGGCATAGAAAGTAAAAACTCTGCTTATGGCAAGAAACTGACTGTAGTTAAATGATATATTACTAGATATTTTTGACACCGTTGAGCAACAGCAGGTCTGGAAGTTCTCACTGTTTTGTCATGGAACAGGTGATGGAGGATGGGATGTGCCGGCTGGTGGCCACGCTGCCTCAGCTGGAGGGACAGAAGTGCCCGGACATGTTTCGCTGCACAGATGAGGTCTCCTTCTGGCTGCATGAGAACGAGGAGAGGAAGCAGCAGATTGTGACGCTGAAGGAGACCATTTCTGAGCTGCAGGAGGAGCTGAGGAACCACCGGCACCGCATCAGAGTCCTCGAGCTGCATGTGAGATCTCCATATGGACTTAGCAGCCCTGGGTCAACTATCAGCAACAATCCTCTGAACTGCTTTCGGTTCCTCTTTAGTCCACCTGCAGCTCACCGGATGTTAAACAATGTGACTGCTCCTTTTTAAAGTGATATAAGTTTTTTACACATTTTGAAGAATTCTGCTCTTTAAATCTCTTCTGGCATTAAATATCTATTCAGAGCCAGACTTTTAGTGAAATATTAACTTATTATTATGTATTTCCTCTGCTCAGGGCCTTTTTGCTAAATATTTGATCTGATAAGTCTTAAACATGGTTTGATGCTTTACCTAGCGGTCAACTTTTATGAAACTTTACATAACTTTCTTTAAAAATCCACTCCTGTTCTGTGTTTTAGCACAGGAGACACATTAGTTGCTTACAGTTCTGCAGAGTAACATGGTGCCTGGTCATGGAGCTGGCTCCCCCCTAGCATGTCCTTGACCTAGTCACTAACAGGATTAGCCTACTACTCTTCCACGTGTTGCCTCATGCGTCTCAGGCAGTGAGCCTACACAAACAGAGGCTGTCAGCTGGACCGCTCAGTGGCAAAAGGTGGACGTTGGACAGGGTTCATGAGAACGGGGCCGTGGAGAGAGGGATCCAGGGTTTGTAGTAATGGGAGTTAGTGTTATCCTCCATGTCAAGGCTAGGAATAGACCACATACTGTGTGTCTGGCTTTACGTTTTAGAAGAGAGGGTTCGTCCTTTTTGTGCTGAGAGCACCATGGAGACCTGCAGGTTTTAGTTTTAATGTGCTCACTTTACAGATGTAGGCCCCTAGTACTAAATGTAAGGCTTAGTTCATGGTAAGTTAAAGGCATATTTCACCTCCATAAGTATCACTTGAAAATAAATAAATCACAAGGTGTAACTTTGAATTCTTGGAGAAAATGTCCTAGCATGCCTCGAGCTAAAATGGATAATTCAAATATTCTGTACACTTTTTTTAAAGTGTCCTTACCCAGATCTCAGTTAATGCCTATATATGTTGTGTGTTGTTATGAGTGTGTGCTTTTGTGATTGTGTATTTTCATGCATGTTGTCAGGGTGGAGAGAGGAACCCCACAAATTCCTCCTTAGAGGAGCGTTTTCATGAGTTGGAGCATCACTTTTCTGAAACCAACACCCTGCTGCACCTACAGGGCACTCTGATCCTAGACCTCCAGGTACACCCATCATAAGAAGCCACAAAAAACATCATAACTTATTTTACGGTGTTTTTTATGGTTTTGCTTCATTTCTTTTTAGAACCAGCTGCATAACCTGACACTTTTGGTGGATGATGTTAAAAAAAGCCCCGGTTGCTTGGTCAACATGGTCCGCCCCAACCCGCTGATGAGTGCCCAACAAGCTCCTCAGACAGGTACACTTCAGAAGCAAACAGTGCGTGCAGTCTCACGTGCTGTAACCCCCAGCAGAGGGCGCCAATGTCCCCTTGTGGATTTACTCCTACCAAATCGTATCTCACACTGTGTTCCCTCAGAGTATCAGCATGTGAGAAACTGTCCAATAGACTGTGCTTCCATCTACTACAATGGAGTGAGGAGATCAGGGCTCTACACAGTCGTGCCATTCCTTGCCGGCGTACCTGTGCAGGTCTATTGTGATATGGACACAGATGGTGAGTCATAATTACAATCACATGAGTAGAACGTTCTATTGAAAATGTGTATTTTTAGCTGAACTTCAAGATTTTCCCACCAGATGTTGTCAAGCACAAACAAGTCTTTCTCATTTCACAAGATGTAATACAAAATAATAACCCATCATACGTGGCATTAGTTCTGCAAACATAAGTCAATTAAGTAAAAAGGCAGACGCTATTTTGAAGTTCACTATTGTCACCCGGATGCTATTGACATCCGGGCATACATTTGATAATGTTTTGAATCTATAGGTAATGCTATTTGAACCTCGTGACTATAGTGTACAATGCTATTTGAACCCAGGTGAAAATAGTCAACAATGCTATTTGCACCCGGGTGACTACTGCTGTTGACATCCTGGCATACATTTGATTATGTTTTGAATCTATAGGTAATGCTATTTGCACCCGGGTGAAAATACTCAACAATACTATTTGCACCCGGGGTGTACTACATTGGCTATTTGCACCCTCCATATATGACATTATTACAGTGAGAAACCAACACAATGTATGTCATTTATCCTAACTGTTACATGTGTATCCTTCGAACCAAAGATGCAATGTCTCTGAAAAGATGTCTTCAACTCCCATTCGGACATTACTTTTTTTGGCGTGCTTTGGCGCCTAGTAGCCTAATTCCGCGCTTTGTTGCATTATGCAACGAGGGGAGGGGAGAAAGGGGGTTTGGTGTAAATAGCCGAATAACTGTTGCTATTTTCACCCGGGTACAAATAGACACTCCGGGAAAAAAATCCTGTACAGCCTTCCTCATAAGAGATTTCCTGATTTCAGTTTTTTTGTATCAAATGAAATAGAAAGTCTTTTGGTTTTTAATTAACAAAACAAGGCATTTATGAACATTACACTGATAGTGAGAAATTGCACATGCCCACATCCTGCCAACTCCAATGCTATACAAAGAAAACAAAACAAATTGAAGCAGAACAAATAATAGACAATACAATATACATCTAGTAATATACCTACTTTTTGCCTCAGGTGGGGGCTGGACTGTGATCCAGCGGCGCATTGACGGCTCATTGAGCTTTGACCGCAGCTGGAGGGACTACAGGGACGGTTTTGGTGACCTGCACTCAGAGTTCTGGCTGGGAAACAACCACATACATGACCTGAGCACCCAGGGAGACTACAGCCTCCGCATCGAGCTGGAGGACTGGAGCAACAGACACAAACATGCCCTCTACCAAAGCTTCAGGTTAGCGGCATACAAGTGCACAAACACGCACAACCATCTCGTGCATAATGACCCTACTCCATCATTGTGTGTTTGTGTGTGCAGTGTGGAAGATGAGGAGCATCTGTACCGTCTCCATGTGTCAGGCTTCAGTGGGACAGTGCAGGACTCTTTCAGCTGGTACCACGACAAGCAGGGCTTCAGCACCCCCGACAGTGGCAACATCTGTGCAGAGATCTCCCACGGCGGCTGGTGGTACAACCAGTGCTTCTACGCCAACCTAAATGGCGTCTACTACAGGGTGAGTGTACAAAGATCGCCCCAAACATTATGCTTTTAATGTCATAGGAGTGTTTACTACTTCCTGTTCCTGCAGGGAGGCGTTTACACTCCTAAAGGCCTGGGGCCACTGGGTCCTGATGGGATCGTTTGGTACTCCTGGAAAGACTCTGACTATTACTCCCTACGCAAAGTCAGCATGATGATCCGACCTCACTCTTTCAGAGCACGTTTGTCACCATGACCCACCGTGGCCATGACAACAGTGAGGACAGAAGAGCAACCCCAGAAGTAATGTCTGCAGAGCCATCTCACCAGGGATGTTTTTATTGACAGAGCTCATCATGAAGGAACTGAATGCCACTCATGTCAACAAAGAAGGACCTCTCTTCTGTTACCTCTGAACTACTCTACCTACAGATCTGGCTCTATATCCTCAAAACTGTTTTTCTGCTGCGTATCTTTGCAAACACAAACTTTATACTCTGAAGTTCTGTAATGTTCCTGGACATTTCTCATTGAGTCAATGTGGAGTGAGTTCTTCCTTATTTTCTACTTCTATTTTGTACTTTAGTTTGATACTTTAACACTTGACAAACTCTTATCAATACAGTTTAAAATGGTACATTTGTACGATGTGTTGACAGAGGAGGCATGTGCAGCTGGCAAGAAGACCATGTTTATTGAAGCATCTGCAGTTGTATGATTATCCAACTGTAGTCATTTTAAATTGCAGCCAACTATAAGCTATATCTATTGTGTAAACTGTTTATTGAAATAAAAAGGGTTTGAATACTTTAACAGGTGAAAGGACACTGAATTATATTAGATATAATAACCCTTTGATAGTGCTACTGTCTAACAGTATAGAGTCAGGCAGAGAAGATGTATGAGGACTGTGTATACATACATACTGTATTGATGGTACAATAAACACTATATGTGTATATACAAAATGCAGTATTGGATGGTACTTTTACTTTAATATTTTCTTTGTAGGCCACATTTTTACTTCTACATCACTACAATGCAGAGACAATGTTGTACATTTTATTTCACTACATTTGTCTGACAGCTCTAAGTACTTTACAGACTATTTTTTCTGCACACAAAACATATAAAGGGCGACTAAAATATGATCATTTGTTATAAATTAAACTACTTGTAGTAAATACAGGTACAGCTGTTACAATTAGAAGATTACTCAACTTGTGGATTGACAAAAAGTTAATTTGCAACCATTTAAATAACCTTACGTCATTTTCATTGTTGCTTTGCTTATCATAATTTTAAGGTTTGTAATAATTTGTAAACCAAATTATTTATCCATTAATGAACAGAATATTGAGCAATAAAAATGAAGTTAAAATGAATATATTTACTTTGGTAAATAATTGCTCACTTCCTTACTGACGGAATGCGACGCAAGTGACACAATTGCATATATAAAAAAGTGTTTTTTGTCTACAAGAGCACTACTTACATTCAAATTACTCCAGGCATGGGTCTCCAGAGACCTTTTGCCTATTGGCAGGTTTCTGTTAATTTAGCGGGCATGTGTTGAGCAGATGTGGGCTGAAGGATAAAGGAAAAAAAACTGCAGGTCAGTTCATTTTAAACTATGGTAAAAATAAAATAATAAAGGTATTACAAGATTTTACACACTCAGTATGAGAGTATTTGTCTTATTGCTCCAAGCTTAGAAGCCCTAAACACATACACAACAAATATTGAGAATGCATGTACTGTGTGGTGCATGCAATCCTACATTATGTGGCCTCAACATCCAGCTGCACCTGATGGGGGCAGAGAGCTGTACGTGGGGTAAAAGGGCTCTTTCACTTGCCCAACTACAAGAGTGCACAAACACACTCTTTGACCCTTCACACAGGCTGCCGACTCATTCTCATTCCTATCCATCTCTACGCAAGAAGCTGCTAAAGCGAATAAGGGCTTCACTGTGAGTTATTCAGAGTGTGTGTGGTGTGCAGAGAACAAGACAAGGTTCCTTTCAAAAACACACAAAGAAACTCCCAATGAGTACAAATCATTGTTTAATAAATCAAACAGAATTTCTGCTCCTCTCCGAGTTACACAGTATTGCAAATACTCCTATACATAAAATAGTATCTCAATGACAAGAAGCACCTGATAGGTCAGATATAGAATATATTTATATATATATATGTATATTTTTCAGGTATCAAGTGATAAGAAAACAAAGCGTGAACATGATTAGAGACTGATTGCAAACTGGGTGGTGAAAACAAAAGCAAAACTGCAAACAAGACATAATCCATGGCTTCGCCCCAAACTCTACTTATAGTACAGATTCTTACAGCTAACATTGCTGCTACACCTTCATATAAAACACCATAAAATGGTCACGGACAATATTCTTCAGAAGAACATGGAGCGAGAAAGAGGGAGGTTAATGTCCTTTAAACGCTTTCAATCATGAACCCCAACTTACGTATCAACATCCTACATTTTGTCTTCTCTCCTGAAATGTAAACTGCAGAGTCATGGTACGCAGGCTGGGGGGGGGGCGGCAGCCAAGTCAACCATTTCTATTTCCCTCAAAAGGGGCAAGGCACGTGGTCAAGACAGGAAGGGGGTGGAGCTTCCTGTTAGCTTTTGAGGAAGTGCAGGATGAAAGGGGGCTAGGGAGTGCCAGCAGTGGACATACAGAGGACACACACTCTGGGCTTTGACAACTCTTACAAGACTAGGATTCATAAAAAAGCTCCACTGCTTTCACCAAAGATGTACTGACTTTTTCAAATCTTAACGGTACTATTTAGAGGCAAAACATATTAAAATACCGGGGGGGAAAAAGACAGTAAATCTCTGATTCATTGGCAATGCTGCTTTCAGAAAGGATGGCTTTTTTTTCTGTATAGGAAACAAGTGGATATCTTATCCTTTACCACTAATAACATGGAAAATGGCATAGTATTGATTTAAAATCAACTGTGAGCACAGGCATGTTGGCACCTAAAGCTTTACAAAACTTCAGATTAGAGAAACTCAAATCAATGTAGCACTTTTACTTTCCTGTATAACAAGCTGCAGGCCTGGACAAAGGAAAGTGTGTGTGTAACAAGTGTGTCTTATTCTGCTATCAATGCAGGCCCTAAAATAAGTGTCAGCTGCTGCACATGCTCATCAACGGTCCATTTACATCTGAGGGCTCTGGCGAATGTAACACCATGAGCAGGGACGGTTGGCAAGAGCAGTAAAGCAAGAGATGAGGTAAGAGTGAGAGAAAAGAAAGAAGTGACATTTAAATTAACAGTAGGGAAAAGTATGCCGTGTAAGCAAGGATATTTTGGATGTTGAGCTGGTTTAACTCTTCTTTCTTTGAGACTGAAGGCTCTCACATGGTAGTGAACTGACCGTGTGCTTCTCTCAGCTTTGCAGCAATCTGTGGATTCAAAAGAAGAAAAAAACTAGCGTGAATACAAAAGGCCGGCAGCTACACCCCAAGTGATAAGGCAACAAAAACTGTTACAGACTCCAATTTACTCTGTTAGATGGACGATTAAAATGCTTTACCGTCTCGTAAAACTTGACTTGCTCTTCCAAGTACAACTGCATGACCCTGTTGTAGTCATAGATACGGTTGCTATGGAAGTGGTTCATCTCAGCTGTGGGAGACACGGGGGGAAACCAGATGTCAGATACCTGTGAGAATAACCTCCAGCGCTTCAGTGATTCTGAGTGAGCGTGTTACCTTGTAATGCGTACGACATGGTGCTGACGCGCTTAGCCATGGTCACTTTGTCCTGAGGGGTGATCTTACTGGTGGCCACCAGCTTGTCGCCCTCCTTCACTTTGTCTATGGCTGCCTGTAAGAATCAAACAAATAAACACAATCTAAGAGTCTTCAGAGACATTGTAAGAAGACAAAAGACCATTAAACTTACTAGCTTAAGAAATTAAAAGAGAAGTAAAATATAAGTTTTGCATGTTCACTGCACTGGTATTTTCTGGACTGGGTTTCACCAGATATTTAAAAATCCGTTACAAATGTTTCAAGTACTTATTGAGCTTTTAGCTAATAAACTGCTTTCTAAATGAGGGGTGTAGCAAATAAAGTTGCACAGGTTAGAATTAGCCTTACCTAAGACACCTTCATAGTGTGTATATAAGTTCCTCTTCTGTACGGTTGTACAATCAAAAGCAGTAAAAAATGTAAACAGGAAGTCACTGAAGCATCATAAGCTTTAACATCACTTCCTCGTATAACAGTTTAGGAGGCAAACAAAATATGAAATGGTCTATTCTGTAAAAATATCTATTACTTTTTCCTCATGGTGGTGCAACTGGCTCCTGTCTAAATATATATTTGTTTTTGTTCTAATGATCCTTATGTGACTTTTTCCCAGCTTACCTTATGGACTCCGATTGTGTCCGGGAAGCATCCAAGAAGACCTTTATATTCATTGTTGGTCTCCATGACAAAGTGGAGGTCTTTCTTGGGCTGTGACGGGAGCAAAGAAAGAGACAAAAAAAAGATGAATGTAACCATAAATCAAAAACAGGAAATAACATAAAGCCCTGAAAGTGATAAGAAAAAACAGGAAGACATGTCAAAGGAGCAACTTCCCAAATGTTTAAATTTAACAAATCGGCCTCTTGCCTAAAACAAAAGTCAAGTTTAGAATAGAGCAGATTCTCCTTACAAGAACACAAATATTTAGCTAAAATATCCACATTTCTTTCATATGGTAATACGGTTTAACAACTACTTTATTGCCTTTTTCCAGAATTGATCAAGTAAATGCTGTGTGCAGAATTAAAGCAACAGTTACACAGCATTGTTTTACACATCTCTATCACAGTCCAGATTATCAAAGTCTACTAGCTAAACTACAATAATTCTACAGCAGATCTGACAAAAAGAGTCCGAAGCAGCATGAGCTTACCAGATGATTCCTCCCTCTCAAAGCTGCATGGTTATCAAAAAGTCCCAAGTTTGATTTGATCACACACCAATCAGACTACATAGAACAGTCTGAAAGCCACAAATAGTGTAGGAACTAGATTTAGGAAACACTAGATATGAATTTGCCCTTGGCTTCTTCCCTTACAAATACAGGTATTTAAGAACAGGACGCTAGGTTAAAGGGGCCATTAAAACGCCACAAACAGGAAGTAAACACTGACCGCAAGCAGGAAATGTTCAGACATTGCGAGATATTATGGTTATTGATAGAGTTAACACAAAACAATGTAGTTGAGAAAGACGCAGAAAGGGAACTCTAAGACCTTTGAGGAAAGAGAAGCCTTTCCTGAAGGGAAACAAGTGGAATATATTATGCAAGACAGGCAAAGGAAACACAAGATTTCTAATAATAGTACTACGTACCTGCTCTGCTACCATCTGAGCTATCTCTTCGTATGTCTTGCCCGCTGCCGTCATGGCGTCAGTCAGGGTCGACTCGCCTGAAGGGGTTAAAATGTTAAAATGTCATCGCCGTGTTTCCTAATAGCATCCGTGTGCCAATTTGTTACTTCCCTGCCAGGACTTCCTGCATAGTAAACAGTATCTCATTTTGCTTCTACCATTGTGATGATTCCATTTTTTGGGTTCTCATTGAAAGTAGTTGTATTGGTATTTATTGCAGTACCTTGGTATCCACTGCTGATGAAAACAGATGAGAGGTTTTGGAAGGCTTTGCCGATTCTCTGGTACTCTTTCGGCAAAGCTGTGGAGGGAAATAAACGACAGTGTGAAGGAATTATGTCTCGAGTTCACAAAATACTCAACACAATGATCCATTGTTAATATAAACAGCAATTAAAGGACAAATTGAATGTTTGGCCTGTGTATCGTAAAACATTTATTTAGCTTCAGTGCAGTGTTTACGTACGGCCTGTACATCTCTTCCAGTGCTCGTTGCCCACTGTGAGGATCTCCTTTACCCCGTCATCCATCGCTTTGGTGAACCTGCTGAACTGCTCACATTTCTGCTCCCTGTGGACGGGGGGGCACACTTAATGTCAGTGCTTATTCAGTGCGTTTATTTTACTATTTACAGTGGTTTTAAAGTTTGATTTTAACTCACACTTCAGTAGGATCCAGGTCCGCACCTTCCGGCTCTATCGTGGAGAAGATCATCACTCCTACCGTCTCATCCTTCTCTGCTTTTCTTTTCCCTGTTTTCCAGTCCTGTACCAAAGAATTCCTCATTTTAATTAAAGGTCCCCTATTATACTCTTTTTCATCAATATATTATAGTTCTCGGATATATACAAAACATGTCTCCGAAGTGTTTGACTCCAAACACCAAACAGATCATGCATTGCAGCATCCCATAATCCCCTCTGTTTCAGCCCTGTTTCAAAAGTGCTGATTCTCTGTCTGTTACTTTAGATGAAAATAAGGAGCACGCCAAGATATTTGGTTAAAAAGAACACAATGGTGCTCTAGGAGGAGATTCAGGTGATGGGGGGGGGGGTATCTTGGTTGGTTATTGGCTAATGGTTACACAAGCCAAAAAAAACATTATGACATCACAAAGTGGCCAATATCTGATCAGCTCATTTTCAGACAGGTTTTTATATAAATGGATCAGGACAAAAAGAGAGAGAATCTTTTTCCCTGAAACTTTCAGAATCTCTTCACACAGAGGGGACACATGTTTATATATAAAATACATGAAAAAGTGGATTTTGCATAATAGGTGACCTTTAAGCAAAAAATAGAATCCCCACTTTGAGTTTCAAGAATTTCAAAGTAGGGCCTTTAAATCCTTCAATAATACAATCTTAGAGGTACAGATCTTTTGAGAAATGGAGGAGCAAAAGCATACCTTCTCGTCCTTGTAGGTGAGGAAAGTCTGGAACACATCACTGCAGGAAACGACCGGGTGCCTGCACATCCTGGTCATCCAGCCCTGCAACCGCTCCATACGCATCTTAATGAACTCTTCCTCAAACCGCCCTGGAATAGAGGGGAGAAAAGATAAACATTATTTACTTATGTTGTCGTAAGCAATTTTACTCTTGGTCTCAGTCCCAGTGTCTCTTACCTGTCACCTGCTTGTCTGGTAAAGAGGGGATGGGGATAGCTGACCCAAATTTGTCCAGCAGCCTCTCATACAGCCAATCAAAGTGCTTGTATCTGTGATTGACAGTTCGGTTTGTGGTCTGCAAACCAATAACATAGAGTTTAAGACACTGGTTGGCGTATAAACGTAACTTTTTTCATTATATTAACCATATTTATCCAGCTTATTTCACTGAATATGTAAAAACAATCATTAGATTATACTGGATACTTACATTGGGTATGATTTGGTACTCGATGTAGCTCTTGAGCCCGTACAATTTTGAACCTTTCTTGGGATCAGCCACCACGCAGTCTAGCTGAGTGTCTGGGTAAGACCACACCGGACCCACTTCACCAACCTGAGCAGAAAACAAAAGGTCTAGATACCTGCGACTCTTCATCTAATGGCAGTCAAACATACATTCACACTGGAAAAAACTGAATTCCAAGCTATGAGACTAATGAAACAAATTGTGCTTTTCATGTGTTAAGATACAGCATATGGCTTTTAGGTAACCTACATAGATTGGCAGCCTCTCTTTGCTCTTAGCGAGCTGCTTGCACAGGAGGTAGAGCTCTGGGCCATTCTTGGAGAAGCCAGGAAACCTGCTCAAAGAGAAAGGAAAGTTTGAATATTCACCATGACGACACTGTTTTGCTGCTTCAATACATGTTTCAGAGAGCTCAGGAATCTAAAGCCTTGTGTCTTACTGCCTATTGAGTCTTACTTGTTGAGGGATATTTTCATTGAAGACGCATGCACTCCTCCTCTCTGCATCGCTCCGCCGTCTCCAGATTCTGACTCGGGGTATCCTGTGGTGGACTTGTCATCCCACTCATCGTCCCACTCATCAAACTCCGCTCCTGAGGGCAGATACACGCACACGTTGGTTGTGTTTTAGGCACACACAATACAAATTCAATAACCCTACTGTACAACATGTAAATATACAAGAAGCTAACTGAGTATTAGAAGCTTCAGGGGAAGATGAATAGCCATTTGTAATAGAAGAAAATAGCTTTCGCCCTATTATAACAATTAAAACTAGCAGGAATGGACATTAAAATGTTCCATCCAGTTTATTAGTCAAATTCTTAAAATCACTGTTGTGTTGGGTAGAGAGAAAATGACACGCTGCAGAATGAGTCTGCTTAATGTTATCTAGATGTAGAATATATTAATGTGATATGGGTTTCTTATTTCATTTCCTGAATACTCAGCTTATCGTATCTCTGTGGTCTTGAACATTAAAAAAAATTACAAAGATATTTTTCCAGAGGCTATGAATGCAGTTTCACTAGCTCAGAGGCATGCAGCACTCAACTAAAAGCTATCAGACACACGTAATGTTTGTGATTTAATAACATGCATCACAAGCTAAACTGTAAGCATGTACACTGACCTAAGCTTTAAACCTCCTTTTAACAACTTTATCCTATCTTCCGTTACTGTTCTCTGTTTTTGGTAGTGCAGACATGCTGTGAGACATTATGAAACCAATCGTAAAAATAGCAATCACAACAAAAGTCTGAAAAATTCTAAAAGTTTTACCACATGTATCAGAAGAGCAACATACTGTAACCTAGTCACACTCCTCAAGTCACAGCTGACACTTTCCAAAATCACAATAAGGTTAATAAAGTGTTAATATCAAAGTACAAATTGATGCCTCACACACACATGCCTTTTAGGGATTCAAATCATTATCAACTATTTGCTGGAAATTCTCTTCATGAGCACTTTTTACCAGTCCACACACAAATAAAAAGAAAAGCTTCCAGCAGGCGATGCACGGGATACCTGTGTAATCGATAAGGTAAGGATATGGGTAGATGTCTTTGGCGAGAAAGAAAGGAAGAAAAAAGCCTGTTATTTCTTCTTGTAATTTATTCCACCAGTCAGTTCTATTTCTACAATAACAAGTGGAAAATAAAAAATTGAAAACGGACAAAAAACTTGTCAAGTAATCTGTCCTTCTGAGTCAGGAGTGAGGTTAACTTTTCCATAGTCTGGCAATAACAGAGTCATGATTTGGTTTCTCTGTCCACGTGTGTCTCTGTGAAGGGAGTGGCCGGAGGCAGGCGACTGAGCAGAAACATGTCTGGGAGTTAAAGTCACTTTAAATCTGTAAAGAGCTGGATGAAATGTTTGCATTTTAATAATATATACTGGATGGAACTACCTGGAGTTTTATATCAGAATGTTATCTGTACATTCTCAAGTATTTCTCTTAGTATTGGGTTGAGTTGAAGTACAGAAAACAGTACTGTCCTGAATATATATAATTTATATTGCACTTTAGAGAAGTTGATTTTAAGAATCATTTGCCACGACAACTTGACGTTTACTTCCCCATGGGTTTTTATAATCTTCCTAGTTAACATAAAAAGCAAAGCCCCAAGCACATTTGAAAACATCTTCTGTTTTACAAAAAAGACACATGTTATAGTTGCAGATAATCTCACTGTTCTCAAATATTAACTATAGGATCTCTTTGATTTCCCCCCAAACAAAGACATACAGTATTACCACATCTCTGGGAAACTATGGGACCAAAAATCTTAAAACATACATAAGGTGTACATAGTCCTGTACAAAACGATTCACAAGCTACATAATCTAACTGTGCTGTAGTGCAGTACAACACAAGCTTTCTTATTATTAAGAGTTTTAATTATTATTTGATGAATTTAAGTCAGCAGTACGTCTTGGCTTTCTGTAACAACCATATTGACTACAGCCATATATTCTTTTCCCAGAACTACAGTTTAAAATAAAAGTAACCATAAACTTTTTTGTTTAACAAGACAATAAAGCTAAGTGTGACCTTCCCATGCATGCAATCACAATAAAGAGCTCAAATCGAAGTTTTAGCACCACAATTTCCAGATCATTATGGCTGTTACCTTATAAAACCTAGATCAAAATACATTAAAATAATCCTGTTAAACATTAGGGAGTAAACACAGATCAACAGAGAAGAAAGCAGAAGCAGCATCGTCTTCATTTCTTGAAATTATCATTGAGGTTTTAAATAGCAATGCCGAGTAGTTAATGTAATCCCAACCACAAGAATGAAAGTTAACATTTATAAAATAGCACAAGCTAATGGGCAGTGGCTTTCCTCTGCTGACACGTGTTGTGTTTTTGACATCCGGCTAATCATGGTTTTCAACTGAAAGCTGTTCTTACCTGGGCCCTGGTACGCCTGAGGGTGGCCCTGTGGTGTGTTGCCCCAAGGCTCTGCAGGGCTCTTCCCAGTCTGGGTGCCCTCTGGATTGGCCGCCCAGTTATTGTTGGAGCCCCCCGAGGGGTCCGCGTTCCACACCGACCAGGGATCATTACCGTTACTCGCCTGCAAGAGACGGAGAGAGAAAATGTGAGGAACGAAAGAATGACAAGCATGGAGAGGGAGAGGGAGAGGGGGAAGCGAACACAGAGGAGGGTCCGGGCAAGTTTAGAGTCTGTTTAATGAGACGCTGACAGAAGTATTTAAACAACATGCTTTTTCAAACACCTGATGCAATCTGGCCTCTAACAGGGAACATTTTATGACTTTGTATATTCTGTTGAACACGTGCAGAAACTCTAAAGGCAAAAAGCTGCATACTTGAAAAAAGAAACTCACTTACGATGTTGAATATGCATACACACTTCCACTCTCAAGTCCTCACACACATTAGTTTGAACAGCGCTTACAAGATGAAAATGCAACTGCATGCCATGCTTGCGGTGCCGCCATATTGTGAACCACTATGAGAACTTGTGTGCACAGGCATGCAAACATTTATGTGTGCCCTTTGTAGGTTAATGCTAACAAACTACTAAGCTGTCTGAACACAGAAATAGTGCAAAGTCACTTAAAAAAGAAAGACATCATGCACACAGACATACAGAAAAATACTGTAAATAATCAACCATTATTTTCACCAAAAAAATGCTGCAATGACAAATGAGCACAGAAGAACACAGCACTTTTCAGATTCAGCAGCACCTTTACTGTACACAAATATATCACATTGTAGAGAATATTTTTACGATTTTTCATGATCATCTGGAGGAAATGTTTGTGTTGTGCTCTTATGATTCATCTGTGTGATTCGTCAATTATATGTGAGATACGAAGATCACTGACTCTGATCTTTAGGCTTTGAGATTCCCTGTAGTGCTGATTCATAATTGACTCAAAGGTAATAATATAAAGGGCGTGGAGATCGATTGGTGGCGTGAGTGTGCACTGTGGAGCAAGGTGCACGGAGAGTATGAGATCATGCTTATGCAGGCAGTATGAGTGGGGGGGGGGGGGGGGTATCAGACAGGAAGGGGGCTTGGGGGGTAAAGGTTTTTTTTCCACCACCCCTACGATGAGGCGGTTACCTCATCAGGGGACGAAAGGTAGGGGGAAACTGGGGTGTCGGGGGTGTCCGGCTGGGGACCTAAGACCCCAGCATCCACCTTGAGGGGAAAAGAAGGTGACATCATCACAAAGCGCCAGCAGGGAAGGGTTACACTCGGCATGGGATGGGTTAACGTGATGCTGGATGTGGATGTGTGAGTTAGGGTGAGAGAGGGAGAGCATGAGGGATAATGGCTGACACATTTCCTGCCTTGACTCAACCCCTTACTGTGCCCAAATTTCTACTGACCCAGCAGTACGCTCACAGTAGTGGAACTTCCTGCCTGTTAAAAAACACATTTCACTAGTTCCACAGTTTTTCACTAGAGCTAAAACTGAGTTATAAATGACATGTACCACAACGATGAATATCTTCCACAGCAGCTGCTCTCACTTCTGCATCTCTGGGGTTCTCACAAGCTGCACGGATATCAGCAAAACTCTGTCATCACTCACTTCTGCTTTTCTTCAACATCATCACATACACATATATTGATTGAGCGGACAAATAGGCAGGTGATCGTTGAGGTATTATCGATGTAAAAAGGTATTTACGTTAACTTCTCTACTGATGGTGGCTGAAATTAGGGAAGTTATGGCTGTATCTTAATCTACAACTCTAAATACAGGTCAGAAAATAGCCCAATAGAAACATAGCATTACCTGGTTTTGTGCAGGTGCTGCTGTGGGAGCGTAGGAATCAAAGATGGACAGGTCTTGAGTAACAACCCCAACATTTGGAGTAGGTGCTGGAGGTCCTGCTGCTGGGAACGACGGTACTGCTGCTGGGAACGACGGTACTGCCTTACCACCAAACTACACATTTAAAAAAGAAAAGTGAGAAGGGAGAGTGAACAGTCCCTTTAGGAAAACACATCAAGATATTCCATAGCGATTTAACGACTTTTAAAGGTACATTCTTCAGTGGTTATGTGATCCCGTCTCATTGGCATTCCCTGGGTTTGCAAACTGGGCTTTATCCAAAATGTGTCATGATAGCAATGGCTGTTGATACTTAAACATACACATCGACATCTGCCAGTAGACCAGTAGAGAGCAGTGAAATGAATTGTTCTTCTAGAGAAACAGACTGTGACCTTAGATGAAACATAAACAACAAGTGCAATTGTGATCAGAGTGTTTTTATGAACAGTCTGGGAGCAGCTGGAGAAGTCATTTAAGGTCAGACAAGCACACACATCCACATGAGCGTGTATGCTCAGTAAAGCGGACAGATAAAATCTGTGGCAGACACACATAGTACATTGTTAGATGTTTCAGTGAGGCAAAACTCTTTAAGAAATGTCACAGACTTTACTTTTTAAACCCTCTGTTAGGGCTGCTCAATTAATCGTATTTTAATCGCAATTACGATTATGGCTTGCAACGATTACGAAAACAACGTAATCGCAATAAAACGATTATTTTTGTATTATTATTATTACTTTTTTTTTTTTTTTTTTTTTATTACTTTTTTTTTTATTGGTTTTTCAGTTGAATTATACTTAAAGTTCAGGGTAATCAACTGTTAAAAACATACTGTTCAAAAACAAATTCTCCAATAGATTGATGTTTTCAAAGTAAATGGATAATCGTTTTTAATAATCGTGATATCAATTATTGACCCAAATAATCGAGATTATGATTTTTGCCATAATCGAGCAGCCCTACCCTCTGTGTCTCTTTTTGAATGTCTTCAGCATGAATCACATCCCCATGATGAGCTCAGAGTCAGTGGACACACAAACACAAACCCCCTAATCAGCAAAACCCTGAAGGAGGCATATCCTGTTGTGATTTTGGGTTTGCACAAGAGACAGCCAACTGTTTACAGTCCAGCACCACAGATATCTAACAGTTACATGATAGGGTGTGCTGTTAAATCCTTGTTTTTACTTTGATAAAGAAAGAACACATAGTACACTAAGTGTGTATCTTACCTCGATGTAGTCTTCAGGCACCAGTCCAACCTCCCCTCTGGAGTTCTGTGCTTCAATCCAGCCGCCTCCAATATTCTGAAATAGAGTCAGGCCAAAAAACAGCGTGTTAGCAAAACAGACCTAGAGCAGACAGAAGATGGTATGTTTTTGAATCACATGCAAACAAAAGATCACACTACTGGGAAAGATTGGTGATAGCAGAAGACAAAATGTGAAAGCCAACCCCGTTTTGATATATGAATCATCCAGAGAAAGCTTCATTTATAGCTAGACTCATTCAGTTTGATGTAAGGACACATTTCTACGAGTAATGTGTTACTATGTTTGATCTGTTGCCACAGAAATACTTAGTCATAGTGTATGAAGTATTTGAAATGCATGCAGAAACCCTGTAGAAAGAACATTTCTACAGAAAAACGTTGTAATTTTCTCTTATATTGTATTGCATTTAAGGAAATAAGGCTGGCCATTACATGTTACAGTACTGACAATTACCTGGTGAACTGAACGAGTATCTGTACATACTGTACACTTAAGCTCCCAGGATAAATTCCTCCACAATCAGTTTATTTAGAGAAGAGAAAAAACAGTCTGTTTCCTGATACAGTAGTTTCTGATTGGCAAAGACCGACTTTGATTAGAAAACTATGCAGGTCAGCACACAGTGTGTGACCTTTGAACTGTTGTCGGCTGGCTGTAATGACATCATGTTTACTCCCTCTCTTTTTGTCCTTCCTCTAAACGCGCTTGTGACACGTTTATTTACAATCGGAGATCATGTGAGATGGGCCTTTATAGGATTGTTGGTTTTGAATATTACAGGATCACATGAACATACAAATGCTGAGGTGGCATCACGCAAAGCTATCATAGCTAAACTACACTTTTAGGTCGAAAAAAACCCTTAAACTCACAAAGAAATAAAAAGATTAGCAAATGTACTTTCAGTCACTATTTTAACTTTTTTAATTAAAAAAACGTTTTATTCTCTTCGTGTCAGCACAGCAGATCCATTCTTTATAATCTGATGAAATAATGTACACTACATCAATAAAAAAGTAAGAATTCTAAATGATGACTGCAAAACAGAAACGTCATTCAAACAAGCTGAATACAAATAAAAATGACAGCTAAAAACCAGAAGGAAGTTTGAGGCATTCTACCTTGTTAGTGATAGTGAGGGTCTCTCCTTCTTTCACCGTCAACTCGTTGTTTCCGACCTCAGCAGAGAAGTCATATAAAACTTGTGCCTGAACACAATCAAGAAAAAACATACAATACTTAATAATAATTGATGAACATATATTTTCATGTACACACAAACACACCTTATGCCACCCTCTGGATATTAACTCTTGCAGTTAAATTAGGGCAGGGAAACATGCCAAACAAGTTTTTCTAGGCATGTTATGATAATTCTTAACACCAGTATGAGCCAAAAACAAGGTCAGAACCATCACATTACCTTCAGTTAACACATCAGCCTGAAGTTCTTCTCACACTGACCTACATCTCATCTGCCCTTTCGCCTTTTTTTGGGGGGGGTCACAAATCAAAACATACATGCAACAGTGGGGGGTAAAACTGTGCATAGTATTCTAAATATGACTTGGTTTTTCCGCATCTTAGCTGATTTTTAAGTAACCCCTCTCATTTGATTTTTTTGTCGGTCCCTACTACCTCTAGTCTACACTGTAGTTCACATACACAAACTGTAGTTTTGAATATAGACATTTTGGGTGAATCTGTTAAGTTTTCGAAAGATTGTTTTTATAGATCCTGGAGACTAGACTCGTATTTTTCTTTATTTAATTTAAATGTTTTGTTTGTAGTGGGATGCTTATGTTTAGTTGGTAGGAATCTAGTAGCACAAACACAAAGTTGTAATCTCAGACCCACCCACCGATTTACTGTATTATAACAGCAATAACAGAAATATGTTTATTATGTTTAATACAATGCAATTAATGGTAAAGAAGATCAAATATCACTGAATACTGCACTGAATTAACGTAGCCATACAGACTCTAAAGACAACATTTCCCAGCATTCCACGGGGCAAGAAATGACCCGCACTGGAAAGGTAGTAAAATGTCACAAGACACTTTCTTTAATGAGGCACATTTTCCATGTAGTATAGCAGAAACATTTGTATCACATTTACTGCATACAGATGTGTCGTAAGTGTTCATTACACGATACTTAACCAAAGTATTGACTCTTTGTAGCTTATCGAGTGAAGTGTACACTGTAAACCCAATGCGAGAAACTACAACTCTGTGCTTCAACAAGTCCACACAGCCCGCATTATTCGCAAAAATACAGCTGTCAGGGGAAGCTTAGGCAGACAATACACCCGGGTTGACGTTTAAACAGCCCAGAAAAGTTGTCAGACGTACCTTAAGCGCCATTGTCGAAGCATTGATCAATCATTACAAAACAGGCCCTGCGGTTTTCAGGTTTTCCAATCCTCAGCTGGACATTTCCCCCCGCTGCTTTTCAACTAAAGGAGACGAAACGGTATTTCCTCCCGGTGAATATGCGCCGCAACACAGACTTCAACACATTACTAAAAACTGTTTGTTGATTAAAAACTCAAAAATCCTTGAAAAGGCGGAAGGAAAGCACCAGTTAGTGTAGCTTCAAGTTTGAAGCGCGCACAGAGCTGCTGACAGTGCGGAGGGAGTGACCTGCAGCACCGAGAGAAACCGGAAAGGTAGGGTCGCTCCGACATGGCCCTCCAAGACATGTATACATTTAGTTTTCAAATAGAAAATACAACCAGAAATAAAATACAGATAAGTAGGCTAATAAAGAAAACACCATAACTAAATAATATGCATTGAAAATGGTTGATGTTAAAACCACAAAAAATCAACTTAAAAAATAAGAATAACACAAATGAATAGGACCTATTGTTTATTATAATAATAATAATTATTATTATTTTAATATTGTCATTAATTAGCCTATAACTATAGCCAAATGATTCCAGCTAAATGTTTTACTTAAAACAATTAATTATAATTTCTTTACACAGTCCTTCTTTTATTAGTTCATATTTTATTTTCCAAGATATTTCAACAATGTTCATACTTTCTGACTACATTAGGTTAAATTGATTTTTTTCTGAGTCCAAGAAATGGTCCCAGTGGTATTTTTGTAATCTTAAAACAGCAACTAGTGAGTTTTCTGACATTGTTGTTGATCACAGCTGGCTCACAGGCTGAAAGGGAGGGACCCTGAACTAATTTATTGTGCTGCAGTCGGCCTCTGCTGGCCTCAATGTGCTATTACATTTCAAGCAGGGTCTCCCAATGACTTCACTGTGGTCAGGATCAGAAAGGCCCACATAGCCTTTTGTACATGCATCTATACTGTTCAAAGTGTTGGACTTCACATTGAAAGACAAAGCAACAAAAGCAGTGATGATATTTTCTGTTTATTCAGTGCAGCACTCCAGCACACATGTTTATATCTCTTTGCTGTATACTGCAGAACAAAAAAAGGCTCGATTGTTTAGAAAATTGCAGGTGCAAAAAGGTTTGAATGCCATAGAATAGACATTTTTGAGTTGATGCACAAAGTGTTTTGACGAGACGAAAGTTGATGAAAATAAATAAAGGCCAACAGCTTTTACATTTCAAGTTGCAGCCTTGTAAGCAATTTACATGTTAATGTCTTATATATACAGTCTAATGTATACAGTAATAACTGAAGCAGTTGAGCTTTCAGTTAGGGGTATAAAAGCAATTGAAATTTAACAATGACTCACCTGGAGTGTCCGCTGGTGTGTAACCTTGTCTCTGGCCAAAATAAGTTAAGGTATAACTTTCATTCCTGCTACTTCCTAGTCACCTCCTCATATTTCAAACACCTGAGTGGTCTCATTCGTCTCCATGTGTAAGAACCGGTGGAACGGGTTGAGGAGCTTAGAGGGGATGCAATAAGTAGGTAAGGTCTGCTGCCCACCTGACCACAGCCCGTTGAGAGACACAGAAGGATATGAGTGTGTCATTTTTGCAAAGACTTGGCTTCCAGGCTAATGATTTCCCAACCTCTGACATGAAATACAATCAACTTGCAGATTTGACACTGAGAATAAACTATACAAAAATAAATATATAGCCCAACAACCAGAAAAAGGTCAGAGCCAACGTGTCATTTTTGTTCACAAGGGCAAATGCAAAATGACAGAGCATTTTTTTCCCGTATCACTTGAGTTCATCTAGCAGCGCAGGTGTGTCGGAGGAGGAGGAGTAGGGTAAGAGGGGATTTTGGCAGCTCTACACAGACTGTGAGCTCAGTTTGAAGATTTCCAACTTCACAGAGACATCATGCATTCTCTGCTTCCTTTCCTCTACCTGTTCTCGGCTTGGACAAAAGGAGCATGGGCTGCGGACCCCACCATGCCCTTCATGGAGTACCTGGATGAAAAACATATGGTCTGCCTAATGTGGGGCTTTGATAACCTGAAAGGAAACATCACATTCAAGCTGGAGGTCAACACAACAGGTTGGGTGGGCTTTGGATTTAGTCCGAATGGAGGCATGAAGGGGGCAGACATGGTCATAGGGGGAGTTGGGCCCGATGGAAGTTACTTCACAGTAAGTCATAGATATTAACATGTGAAGGTTGTTTTTCTTTTCATACGTATTACAGGCAAAATATGTGTTGGACAGCAAGCACAACATAATATCTTTCTGCTGTGTGAAAGTTGTGCATTTTTTGTCCATTAGGATCGACATGCATTGGGAAGGTTTGAGCCCTTGGTGGACGAGCAGCAAAGCTACACTCTCCTCTCTATGAATGAAAAAGATGGCCAAACCATCATGTCCTTTCGGAGGTCCATTCAGTCGTGTGATAAGGAGGACTTCCTTATTACTGTAAGTACATTCGGATATTTTGTCTTTCATCTTACAGTAAATATATTCTGCATGTGTGGTATTTAGTATTGGCTACGGGGTTGGGATATAGTAAACTCACAACACAAGTTGACCGTGGTGAATTTCCATTATCAGGATTTGGAGATATTTGTCAGGGTATATTTCCAAATAACACTGAAAAAATTATGAGATTGGAAATGTCCGAAAAAGGTCAGCCCAGTTAAAACTTTATAAAGTGCAAAAGATGTAAGAATTTTGAGGTACCCCATCGCAAATGCTGCTCTTTCCATGGGAACAACACATGCTGCATTACTCTCCAGCTCATTGTTACTATAACTTAGCCTTTGATTGTCGTTTTACACATTGGAGCTTAAAGCTCAGGTTTCTAGGATGCTAGTATCCATGTTACCTGTGCCATAGGATTTCTTTTGTTAGGTTCACCTGAATCTTCGTCAACAACTTGAAGAAGCATTGAATTGGGTGTTTTTAGATATGAAGACAATGGCAACAAAAGAAAAAGGAGCTCAAGATTTTGTTTTGCGTTGAAAGTACTACACAACTTTGGTGATAAACCTTGTTGTATGTGCTGACATATCCTTGTTAAATACAAGGTCACAACATCGATCTTGCCTGTAATTTCAATTAAAAAAAAAGGTAATTATGTTGGTAAATGTATAAGGTTTTCCACTGAATTAAACCCCTTTTATGTTGCTTTCTTTTGTAGCGTATCATATTTGTTGACTAAGACTGTTCTCTCTTTTATAGGCTCAACCTATTAAACTGATTTACGCCTACGGATTAACAGACGAAATAAAATACCACAGGGACAATAGAGGCACAAAGGAGCTCAACCTGCTGGAATATATGCCCAGGACGACCTCAACCAACTTCCTCAGCGCCACAATGGACAATGTACGAATAATTTAGAAATGTGATGACAATGATACACAATGCTTACTTGTGGGAACATTTGTGGATTTTCTTAATTATTTGTATTGCCCTTTCAAGTAATCATCCATCTATCTATCTATCTATCTATCTTACCTTTTTACTTTATTGTTTTATCAGATCACTGTCCCGGCTTACCGTACCTACTACTACTGCAAGAACATGAAGTTGAACTTAACTACAAAACATCATATATATATGGTAATCATCCCTTCTTTTTGTCATCACACCCATCAACTGTCAGGTTTTGTTTGGATTAAAGTTCAATAGCAAAACAAGTCTTACGTAGTTACAATGAAAATACTAAATTGATAATATAAGCAAGTGTCTTTTATTCATCTCTAACAATGGGAAACATGACTAGTCCTTCACCCAAAACAAAATGGACTACAACCATCATGGTCTTTATACATATTTCATCCTTCATTTGCTGCTCTCTTAATCTTCTGACTCTTCCTCAGATTGAACCTGTGATCGAGCAGATTGACATCGTGCATCACATGCTGCTGTACCGCTGCCCCTCCTTTGTGACGGAGGAGGGCGATAGGCCGTGCTACATGGGAGATACCTGCTTTGGGGTGGTGGCTGCATGGGCCGTGGGAGGAGGGGTGAGAAAGTATCAAGGGTCTCTCTATGAATGCTTCAAATGTATTGTCTTTATTTTTCTGTGCATATCCATGTCAGTGTTTCACGTTGTTTTCCTGAAACCCTCAGGTATTTGAGCTTCCAGAAAATGTTGGTATTCCGATTGGAGGTGTGGACAGTGATACAATGTATAGACTGGAAATCCACTACAATAACGCAAGAAAAGAAGCGGGTACAGTACAGTAGATCATTTTCACTCTGTCTATCTGTAAAGACTGAGTGAAAATGTAAAAATGTTTTTCTCAACAATGTTTTTGTAAAGTTTGATATAATGTCTAATGCAGTCGACATCATATCCACAAAGGCATGATTTGGCACTAATAAGAAAAAAATGTTTAATTATTTGTCATTTGCTGACTATTGGACACAAATATAAATATGCTGCCTGCCTTTTCTCATAACATTGTGTGTTTGGGTGACACCCCATTTGGAAAAGACAAGATGTGTTCTGTAGGTCAACTGTGACGTATGGATTCTTGGACCCCAAAGCAGAGACAGACACAAGTTAAGCTCAAGGTGTTTAATAAATAATAGGCCAAGGCAGGTACTGAAAACAGGGAGCTGGCTGGCTGCAGAAAGGTCCAAAAACAAAGCAGAGGGAAACGTCCCAGGCTATACTCGAAAAGTAGCTCAAAAACTGCAAAGAAACAAAACAAAACTCAAGGCTGCAGAAAGGCACTCTGGATCGTTGAACAGCATTTAATTATCTGGCAGAGAAGTGAGGTGAGGGCCAGGCTCTTAAAGAGCAGGTGATTATCTGAGTGGGAACAAGTGTGCCTCATCTGCAGCCAGGAGAATACCAGCCACGCCCCCTGTCACACACCAGCCCTGCAGAGAAGGAGAGACAGAGTAGTGAGGGGTAAAAGGAGCAAAACAGGAAATAACACAACAACAAAACCCATGCATAAACATAACAGTACCCCTCCCTCAAAGGACGCCTCCTGGCGGCCTACCAGGCTTATCCGGGTACCGGGCATAAAAGTCTCTCAAGAGATCAGGGTCCAAAATGAGCGAGAAACCCATTGTCGCTCCTCTGGCCCATACCCCTCCCAATCCACTAGGTACTGGTAGCCACGGCCCCGCCTTCGAACGTTCAGCAACCGCCGTACAGTGAAGGCCCGGTGGTTGTCGACAACGCCCCCAATGCCTGGCAAAAAGCCCTCCATACATGGGAGGAAAACTGCGGACCCCTGTCTGATACAATATCCTGAGGGATAC